GGGTTTGGGGCAAGGAAAAAAAAAGGGGTAAAAGCGGAAAGGCAAAAAAATCAAAAAAAATCAAGTCCAAAAGGGGAGCCTTGGAAAACCAACAAAGTAAAACCGGAAAAAACAAAAAAAAAACAAAAAAATGAAGGGCCAAAAGGCCTAAAGCAAGTAGGGGCCGAAAGAAGGTAAGTGAAAGTGAAGAGTGGGCAGGATGAGAAATGGAACTCAAAAGTAAAACAACAGAATTTGAGATTCTAAAGTGGAGCACATACAAATGCTGATATTAGTGAATTTCTAAGGAGTGAGTACAAAGGTTGCTAGACATCAGGAGCTCAGGGGTTGTAATGATTGGAGAAAGTAGATCACATAAACATCAAAATGTCCCAAGACGATGGCAGGGTTGGAGTAGAAATGAAAACTGTTAATGAGATTCTAAAGCCCCCAGTGAATATTGGGGAGAGTGATGGAGACTTTAAACTGGTAAAATCTAAAGAAACAGTATTCGAAGTAGAAAGTGGTATGGTCATGAGTCAGTTATGAGCCCCATTGAGCCTTGATTTTTCCATCTGAAAAATTGTAATCATATTTTCTTGCAAAGGTGCTATGGTTCGGATATAGTTTATTTGTCTCTGCCAAGTCTCATATTGAAATTTGATCCCCAGTGTTGGACATGGGGCCTGAGGTGGGAGGTGTTTGAACTGTGGAGGTAGATCCCATGAATGGCTTGGTGCTCTTCTCATGGTAATGAGTGAGTTCTCCCTCTATTTGTTCATGTGAGAGCTTGTTGTTGAAAAGAGCCTGGTACCTTCTCTGCTGTCTCTCTAGATTCCTGTCTCTCCATGTGATATCTGCACATGCAGCTTCTCTTTGCCTTCCACCTTGATTGGAAGCTCCTTTAACCCCTCACCAGAGGCAAATGCTGGTACCATGATTCTTGTACAGCTTGTAGAATTGTGAGCCAAATAAGCCTCTTTTCTTTACACATTACTCAATCTCAGCTATTCCTTTGTAGCAACACAAAACCGACTAAGACAAAAGATCATTGACATTAATGTATTAACATAGGCACATTGCTCATATACTAAGCTGATGTATATGTGCTCAAGAAAAAAAAAAAAAAAAAACGTAGTTTTCTCTCCTCCCACTTTTTGATGAGAAATGCTAAGTTTCTAATACTAAGAATGCATCAAGATTAGTCAACAATGGAGATTCTGAGGCCAACATCTGTCTATAGCCAATGAAAGAAACTTGCTATGTTCACGCATGGTTCTGTGACAATCAGAGGCTTAATCTGGGACACCAACTGTACCCTCTGACCTCATAGAAATAGCATCACTGGTGAGTGATGTCAGGGTGTATCAGTGGGTCTAAGAACATTTATCTTACTTTGGTAGGCAAATGCATGGGCATTTGGATGCTGCTGTAACTTGAAGAAAACTAGTGATATATTGCTACAGAAACTCCAATTGCCAGGCTGGGTTGCTGAAGTTCATGCCTCTCAGGGATCCAGAAAGAGAAAGAATGTGCCTCAGCATCTGGGAAGACACATTTCTGATGTGAGCTCATGTCTCAAGGAAATAGATCAAGTTCAAAACTACATGGACAGCATTTCATAAGGCAACGGGATCTCTCATCAGGAGAGACAAACCAGCAGGGAGGAAGCCTTAAAAAGTTGTGCCTGACACAAGCTGGCATGCTAATGTAGTGAAAAGTTTGCTAATATAAAGGAAGAAGAATGTGCATAGGAAGTTAGGAAATTTGAGAATTAAAATTTTTTACTGCAAATCAGAAATATGGCTCCACAGATTTTATTGAGCCATAGTAGGATTTGTTTGCATTTTTCTAGTGCATTAGGCAATCTCATAAGGAATTCCCCTATGGAAATTAACTTTCCTTAAAATCACATTTTCTGTCTCTGTAAGTCACCCCTACTGTATAAACTTGGCATGCTTAATTGTCCACAGAACACATTCATGACTAATGGGCTAATTAGGTATTTGTTGGCTCTTACCACAAAGTTATTACTTTAAATCATGAGATCGGATGGGAGTTTACTTTCTCAAATCTGAAAGATTGACTAGCCAGGGTGATTCTAAGGAAGCCCAAATTTGGTCTCAAAAAATAATTCCAGAAACGTTTTCAAAATTTTATTTACTGCAAGATTAGTATTAATTGTTGTAAGAGCTATTCAGCCTAATAGATTGTTGGGTTCAGAAGAAAGGAATTAAGTGTAGAAAAAGGAAGGTTTTATAACTAAGCTAGTGCTCTGAATTTTTATAGGAATATTGTTGATACTTAGCAGAGTAGAGGGAGGAAAATAAAAGTAAAATAAAAACAGACAATTTTATCCCATATCTTAGGAGAACCTAGTAAATTATCTTCCTGTTACAGCAGTTTGGGGAAGAGGCTACTTTTTGTGGTAAGGTAAGCATCCAAATAAAAATATAAGCAAGCCTAATAGAAAGCTGAAATTATGGAGATTTATGAAGAGATAGAGAAAAGTAGAAGGCATGAATCAGTTGATAAAAATTCACAGTATAATCATTGTAGAGGGGGTTTGAGTTGAAAGGTGGGAGAAAAAGTAAGCCAAGATAGTAATAGAAAAGTAAGGAGATGAGAAAAGAAAGAATCAGCTGTTTCACTTGGTAAGTTAACATTTTATTTGTCCTCATGTGAGTTATATCAGTTTCCTAATCCAAACTATAAATAGATTTTCCTCTTGGTTTTCTTGGTAAAAAAAAAAAAAAATGAAGTGAGAAGGGGAGAAAAAAAGAACATGCTGCAGTCGCTGTCACAGAGAAAGAGAATGGAAAATCAGCTGGGCAGAGAGGATGAAGATGTATTTCTCAGGGCCACAGAGCAGTAGTTGGGAATGTTGAGTAGTGACACAAATGCTTCTACCAATTCAATTTCCAACTGAGACCCTCACTTCTCTTTGATATACCATATTTTGCTAAGGGTGTTTTCTTAAAAATAGACAAAATGCATTTGAAAGATTGTAAAAGCCACATAAAGTTGTCAAAATTTCTGTGTAATAGCATTGCTGATTGGGTAATGACGAGGAGTTTCATCAGTGATCAAAGAATCCGTGTTCTAGGCATTCACAGTACTATTTTTGTTAAAATCATCTTTTCAGGAAGGTTCAATTTTATATTAGAGGTTACATTTTTAATGATTATTGAATAAACTTATATATTTATGTTTAGTGGTTCAAAGTAACCAGACAAAAAGAATACATCATTATTATGACATTATGTGTGTGTATACATATATCCACACATACATATTTTTTCTTCTTTTTCTTTTATTAATAGAAAATTTATTTTCAACATAATTTTTTTCCTGTGACTCTTTCCAAGTTTTACAGGAGTATTTATCAAGTTCCATTAATTATTGCTTTGGTCCTGTTTTAATCATGCTTTTTTATTCTGAGGTTAGCCTCAGGAAAGCCAACAAAGAGTGACCCTTGTTTCAGTGCTCACTGTCATGTGAATACTATTATCTTTCCTGCTCAGACCCAGATCTGAAGGTTATGTGGATGAGAATTTCACCCCATTTTGGTTGGCCATGTGAATGGGTATTCCTTTTTCTTTCTTTCAGCATATTATGGGGGTAAATGTTAAGGTTACATATATTCCTTTTTGTATGGATGTATTGAATTCATTTCAGCTGAACCTACTTTGCTCTGACAGCCAGTTCTATGAGCTAGCCACAGTAGCAAATGTTTATAATTCTTTTTGCATCATCTGCGATGCAAAAATCTAAATAACCCAGAAAGAATTAAGAATGGGAAGCCAAATAAATGTAAGGAAAATTATCAAAAGGAAATAAGGAGTTGATTCTTGTTCTGACTGGCCCAGATAACAGCAATTATATAATAGGTTTTCCTCTGGTCAGTATGCCCCTGTGTCACTTAATATACACTGAGATGAGGAATCGTGTTTTCCTATGTCTTCGGAAGCTGTCCACGATATCTTCCAAGGAGAAGACACGTGGTCTGTAGTCCATAAAGGTTTTTCTCAATTCCTAATAATGACACAGTTAATAATGACAAGAGCAAATGTTTATTGAATACCTGATAAGTGCCAAGAACTATTCTAGATTTGAGGCATATACTAATCAAATAAAACACAGACATCACTTGCTTTTATGGCATACAAAATCCAGTTATTATAAATTAACTGTGTATTCTGATATACTGTCCTGTGTTACTTTTGGTTTAGAGTGTGATTGTTCACTCTATTTTAGTATATCCCTTTTTGAAAATTTTGATGAGAAATTTAGAAGAGATGTATTGATTTAGTCTATTGCCATTTTTATCCAAAACTTTTCTTTTTAAATCCTGTCATAAGCATTTTATTCCATGCAGTTTTTGTCCCCTATGACAAATGACAATTACAAAATGCAGGGATACAATTTTTCTGGTTCTTCCCCTTGTTTCTGCTTTTAAACACAATTTCATAATGCCTTAGGATTTTGAGAATTTGTATTGTCATTTTTAGCTAAAGAAATCACAATACTGGAAAACATGTAGAATGAAAATTTTAACCTTTTTATAGTTGCTTCATAGTTCTATATTCCATTTAGATATATAAATTAAAACCACTTAAAACTCTCACACTTAGATTTTATTTTTGAGCGTGACAGTTACCTATTCTTTGCCAACACCTGACTGCCACTAATCCATAAGTCTTATTTAGGTCCAAACCCTTTTTCTTAAATAAGCTGTAATTATATCTGAGTACAATTGTGCAGCCAGCAAAACATTTCATTGTTGGAGCTTTTACTTTAATCTGAATATGTATAAAAGCTTATAGAATTTAATCCATATATCTTTAAAGCTTTTAATTTGTTGTTGAGAAACCTAAAATGTTATTATTTTTTTTTTACAAAATGCTTCTTTTGTAAATTATATATCAATATATTTTGGCATAAGATTTATTCAAAAAACCTTTTTTTCCCCTTTGTAGAGGTCGTGTCTGTGCCATTAAATTGTTTTCTTTATATTTTAGTTGATTACAAAGTGTTTGGAGATGATCAAGATGGAACTTGATAAAGCATCTGGAAATGGAAAATTCTCACAGTAGGACCTGCTGACTTGATTGCTTCATCACCATGGCAACGTTCATCGGTCAGTATAGCCAGGTAATGAAATGGTTTAGTTCAATTAGGGCTTAAAATATTCTTCTACCATTGTGTATGAAATTTATAAAAGCATTTGTCTAAAAATAGGTCACACTCTCTTCTGACTTATAAGATGATTCTTTGTTCAATAGAGTGCACACACAAAGATAAGCGAGCAAATTTAATCTCTAGGTTCCTCCATTTATTTTGTCCTTGAAAAAAGCATGTGGCTTAAATATGTCTCTGAAAAAATAGCATGTATACATAAGCTCAAAAATATACTGTGCTGATTGAATATGATCTGGGAAATAGACACATTTATACATCGCCGTTTTGGACTGCATTATTGTTAGCGGAAAGCCTGGCTCAGAAGAGACATGCATCATTTGGGGCTGAAGATTTTAGTAACAGTGAGGAAGAACACTTCAATGAGTAAAGGTGCTGCCCATGTGTGACAAGTGTCTAAAAGGAATGGGCTTATGCTTATAGCTCAATCTCCTCTCCCATTTTTCTATCTATTCTGAACTTGAGACTTACTTCCAGTACCCATTCTTTCTCCTCTCTCTCAGCAGAGCACGATCCACCTCCCACTTAATTGAAAAATAGAGGCCATCTGGCATGCACTCCTACCACTCCACCTACGAACATCTGCATCCATTCTACCTCAAGGTTCATTTCCATATCTACCTTTTATCTTTGCTCCTGGGTTTTCTGTCTCTCCCTATCCCTGCTCTTTCTTTTTTTAAAATAAAGATTCATATGTGAGTTTCTCACATCTTAAAATGACAGAAAGAACATAACATAACATGTGCCGTTGCCTTTTCCTTTTTTTCTTTTTTTGCCTCTTACCTTCAGAACCAAGACTTTTAAAAAGCATCGTTTATTTTTTCACTTCCCTTTCTCTCTTGGACCCAATGAAATTTGTCTACTGCCCTCAACACTGCACTGAAACTGCTTTCAGTGAGATCATCAACATCATTTAATGAAGCATTTGTTATGCACCAGATATAAGACTGTGATTTGGTGACACAACATTCAGTAAGAAATGTCCTTGTTTTCAAGGCATTCACAAATCATAGTTATGATATACTTCTCAACACTAAACACATTCTTCTTAACTTGTGGCATTTCCAGTTTTTGTGTCTTTTCTAACCCTACGTACGCTGCCTCACAGAAATGCCTTTGTTGTTCTCCTGTCCACACCATACTGCGTCTACAGGGTCCTCACTAAATCCTGGCTTTTGATGTCTCTTCCTGGCCACATGGTCCTCTGATTCTGCTCATTTGGCCACTGAGCCTGCTAATTTCTCAGGCCTAGTACTGTGCCAACTCTTCTGTGATGCCTTCTGTAAATTAAACGTTATTAGATTCCTCAATTCAGTAAAGCTTTACATATATAGTTAGTATTTCACCACCATATATGATCTTCTAATCTGTTATGTGGGCTGTCCCTGGTTTATTTACTTAAGCTTTTTTATTTTTAGTTCATTGTAGATCTCCATGCTGTTTTAAGAAATAATGCATAGAACTTCCATGTATGCTTTATTCAAGCTTTCCTCAACAGTAAAGTCTTCCAAAATTATAGTACAGGTTCCTTACCCAAACTGGTTGGGACCAGAAATATTTCAGATATTGGATGTTTTGGGATTTCGGAATATTTTCCTATGCATAATGAGATAGCATAGGAATGGAACCCAAGTCTAAACACGAAATTTATGTTCTATATACAACTTGAAAGTAATACACATAACTTGAAAGTAATTTTACATGGTATTTTTGAAAATTTTGAGCATGAAACAAAGTTTGTATACGTTGAACTACCAGAAACAAAGGTGTCTCCCATTTCAGCCACCCATGTGGATGATCTGGGATTGACTCTGAATTTATATGCCACCAATAAGCAATCATTTTCTTACATTTATTCACACACAAGTGCTTAGTAAAAAAAAAGACATACCATTAGTAGGGTGGAAAAATGATATGTTCAGGGTAACTAAGGACACAGTAGCATTGCCAGAAGACCTGCGTCAGCTGTTAGAGAAGAGCAACAGACAGTGTTAGGTTTTCAGTCTCCACCCACAGTGCTGTGTTTTGGTTAAAAGATTACTGCACATTGTGGGGTTTTGTTGTTGTTGCTTTGGTGAAAAGAAACACCAGAGACAGATGAGGGATCAGGAAGCGGGTCCCATAGGGATGAAGAGGCATTCCGGTGGATGATGTTTTAAAATATTTCCTCCAAAATCATCAACTTCATTGACAATTGTTTTTGTTTCAGAAGTTTCTGCTTGATCTCATACACCAATATGATTTCTTATTCTGTTATGAATATATGAGGCTCTCTAGTCCTTTAATAAGCCCATAACACATTTCATCATGTCATTTCACTTTTTCTGCAATTTTAACATCATTTTCACTATCACTATTGTTACAATCACCTTAATTTGGAACCATTTCAGCTATTTCGCCATTGGTCAATGAATGAACAGCGAGAGTCCCAGTATGGATGTTAAGAATGTCTTTTATAGCCACACTTTTTAATTTACACATGGATTTTGAAGGCATATTTTTGCATATGTGAGAAAATCAGGCATCATTTTTTTCTCACTTGACATATGGAATCCTTAAAGATCACCACCTCGTTCATCATCATCACTGAACGTAGTCACAGACAAGAAGTAGGCATATAACTGTGTCTTTAGTCGCAGTGTTCCAAGTGTTGGCAATAGCATAGATGGCATTCTTCACGCTAAATTTCTTTAAAAAAAATTCCACACCTAGGCCTCTGTTCACTGCACCTAGCATGCCGTTCAAGAAAGTGTTTTTATATTTATTAATACTTTTCATTGAGCTAAGGATACCTTGGCCACATGGTTGAATAATGAAGTCACTTTTAGGGGAAAGTACATGACATACACGTTGTTTTCAATGAGAAACTCAGCTGGAGCATAAGCAGTTGTCAAGAGATGAGGAAATCTTGCAATCGTCATCCTGCCAGGTTCCCTACAGTGAGCATGAGCTATAGGTATAAAATATTTGGGAAGCCAATCAGAAAAGACGTCCGTGGTGATCCATGCCTTTTTGTTAGCATAATGATAGACTGGTAAGAAGTTCACTCCTTGAAAGCAGCACAAATGCAAGCTTTTGACTATCACAGAAAGTTTACACGTGAGCATGTCTGCTGCATTAGCAAATCCCAGCACAGTTATCCTGCCCTTGGCATTCTTAATTCCTGTAGGACCTGTCTCATCAGCTGTGGTTAGTGTCTTTCTGGGGCAATAATACAGTGATGTTTTATCAGCATTATAGACTTCTGGTGTCAGATTTTCATCAGCTGTGACCCTGGCAAACCCATTAATGAATTTCTCCACTGTTTTGTGATCAGCAGATGCCTTATCACCACGAATTTTAAAAAATTAATGCTGTCATTTCTTAAATTTATTGCAAAAAACCTGTTGAATACTCACAGTTCCTTCTAATTTTCAGTTCATTGTGATAGATCTTTGCTTGCTGTATGATCAGGATACCATAAAGTGACGTCTGTTCACTGTAGCACTGAGGGAACCACTTTTTAAATACATGATCGAGATACTCGCTTTTAGCTTTATGCCGTGTTTTCCTATTTTTCATTAACTTCTGTTCATCACTTTTAGCATAGAACCTCGACAGTTTATCCTGTTTCTTCAGGTAATATACGATGATCATTCTACTACCGTACTCTTTTGTAAGACATTTCACGTCTCTCCAATGGCGTGGCTTTCTGTGCTATGGATAAGAAGAGATGCTCTCTCTTTTTCTCATCACTGTTACCCATAGGAGTATTTATAGGCCTTTTTGACATTTTCAACCATATCTTTACACCGTAGAGAAGAGAACAAGAAAAACAAAACAAAAACACAGTGCATAATGCATGTAGGACTTGGCCCCGTGAGGGGCACCCTGGGAAACCCACTGTTGGCATGTCTGGCCTGTACATAGCCACTGCATTAGCCGTTGTTGGTGCGCCTACACAGGGGAATCTGAGTGCATGCAGAAAAGATACAGCACAGCTGAATGGTGGGGTGGGGGTCTTTTTTCCCTTAGGGACACTGAATAAACTGTGTGTTGCACACTTGTGTTATGACTGTGACCTGTCACATGAGGTCAGGTACAGAATTTCCTGCTTGTGCCATCATATAAGCACTCAAAAAGTTTGAAATTCTGAAGAATTTTGAATTTCAGCTTTTTGGATTAGGAGGGATCCTCAACCTGCACAATATCACAATCAAGATACTGACATTGATACAGTCAAGATACAGACTATTTCTGTAACTGCAAGGATATCTGATGTTGCCCTGTTATAGCTACACCCACTACCCTCTTACTCTTCACGCCTTTCTTAACCTAGGCAACCACTAATCTGTTTTCCATGTCCATAATGTTGTCATTTCAAGAATGTTATATAAATGGAAACATACTGAATGTAATTTTGGGTGATTGCTTTTTTGTTTTGTTTAGTTTTGTTTTGTATTTCCCACTGGAATAATTTCCTGGAAATTTATCCAGGTTCATCCAAGGACATCTGCCTCTTTTTTTCCCCCCAGTTAGGGATTGGTTATGAATAACATTGCTATAAGCATTAGTATACAGGTGTCTGCATAAGCATAAGTTTTCATTTCTCGGGGATAAAAACCCGGGAATGCAATTGCTGCGTCATATGGTAGTTGCATGTTTCGTTCTTTTCAAGAAACTTCCAACCAGTTTTTCACAATAGTTGTACCATTTCACATTGTTACCAGCAATGTATGATAATTCAGTTTTTCTATATCCTCATCAACATTTGGTGTTGTCATCATTTTTTTGTGTTAGCCACTCTGTTAGATCTAGATTGATAACTCATTACAGTTTTAATTTATATTTTCCTAATGGCTAATTATGATGAATACTTTTTCATATGTTTATTTGCCATCTCTATATCCATTATGACACAATGTCTGTAATGTATTTTCTAAGAGGATTTTTTTTTTACTGTTTTACTTTGACAG